ATCAAATATGTAGAGTTTTTTCTACACACTAAGCAATTCTCTGTAACACTAACAGGGTGTCCTACATTGTAACTTAAATTTGACACTTTCTACCTGGAGGCAGCATCAGATTCCTATAAAATTGTCACTGCCCCCCCCACCCCAATAAACACACTCATACTTCAGAACAGTCACAAGCCTAGGTTATCACCTGAACTTCTGACCAACCAGCTGTAGATCAGAGGTTTCAATGATCCCCCTCCTTGGGTTCAATTAATTTGCTAGGGTGATTTCACAGAACTCAGGGCAACATTTATTACTTACTGGTTTATAACAGGTATATGATAAAGGATACAGATGAACTTCCAGATAGATGGGATGAGTAAGGCAAGATTCATAGAGCTGCCCAGCGTCTCCAGGTGTTAATCAACCTTGAAACTCACCAAAACCCATACTTTTGGGATTTTTTGAAGACTTCATTATGTATGAAGGTTTTATCATGTAGGCATGATCTATTATTTTTTTTTACAGTTTTGAGCCCTGTTATTTATTTTTTTTAATACTTTGTTTTATATAATTCTTACATCATTTTTCATCTTTGCACAATGTATACATTTTCATTTTGGTTATATTTGCCATACAGTTGCACCCCACCCCTCTGACTCTAGTCCTTCCTCTCTCCGCCCACCCCTTCCTCCCCCCATAGTGTGTCTCTGGTTTATAGTTGCTTGTTAATTTTGATTTTTACTTTGTATTGGATAGTCTTTTTCCTGGTCTCTTATTTAGGTTTTCTGAATTCCTGCTATGAGTGAGACCATCCGGTATTTTTCTTTTTCTTTCTGACTTATTTTGCTGAGCATGATCCCTTCTAGCTCCATCCATGTTGCTGCAAACTGCATGTGTTTATCTTTTTTGATTGCTGAGTAATATTCCATTGTGTATATGTACCACATCTTTTTGATCCAGTCATCTATTTTTGGGCATTTGGGTTGTTTCCATAGCTTAGCTATTGTAAATAGTGGTGCTATAAACATAGGGGTGCAGGTGCCCTTTTGAATTAATGTTTCTGTGTCCTTTGGGTAAATACCTAGGAGTGGAATTACTTGATCATATGGAAGCTCAATGTTTAGTAGGTCAAGAAATCTCTACATAGCTCTCCATAGTGGTTGGACCAGTTTGCACTCCCACCAGCAGTGCAGGAGAGTTCCTTTTTCTCCACAACCTCACCAATATTTGTTGTTGCTAGTTTTTTTAATTTGTGCCATTCTCAACTCGTGTGAGATGGTATCTCATTGTAGTTTTGATTTGCATTTCTCTGATTACAAGTGATGTTGAACATTTTTTCATATGCCTGTTGGCCATTTGCAATTCCTCTTCAGAGAAGTTTCTTTTTAGCTCTTCTGCCCATTTTTTGGCAGGATTATTTTCTTTGTTGTTGTTGAGTCTCATCAGCTCTTTGTAGATTTTTGTGATCAATCCTTTATCATTAGTGTTGGGTGCAAAGATTTTCTCTCAGTCGGTGGGGTTTCTCTTTGTTTTTGTTATTGTTTCTTTTGCTGTGCAGAAGCGCTTTAATTTGATGTAGTCCCAGCTGTTTACCTTTGCCTTCTCTATCACTGCTTTGGGTGATGTGTCTGTAAACATGTCTCTGAGGTGCATGTCATGCAGTGTTTCGCCTATATTTCCTTCTATGTATTTTATGGTTTCAGGTCTTATGTCTAGTTCTTTAATCCATTTTGAGTTGGTTTTTGTGCATAGTATGAAGTAATGGTCAAGCTTCATTCTTTTGCATGTATGACCCAGTTTTCCCAGCACCATTTATTGCACAAACTTTCTTTGCTCATGTGCATATTCTCTGCTCCTTTGTCAAAGATTAGTTGACCATAAATCTGTGGGTTTATTTCTGGATTTTCTCTTTGGTTCCATTGGTACGTGTGTCTGTTCCTGTTCCAATACCATGTAGTTTTGATGATTATGGTTTGTAGTATAGTTTGAAGTCTGGGAGTGTGATGCTTCCATGTCATTCTTTTTTTTTTTTTTTTTTTTTTTTTTTTTTCCAGGAGAGCTTTGGCTATTTGGGGTTCCGGTGATTCCATATGAATTTCATGAATAATTGTTCTATTTCTTTGAAGAATGACATTGAAATTTTGATTGGAATAGCATTGAATCTGTATATTGCTTTTGGTAGGATGGCCATTTTAATATGTTTATTCTTCCAATCCATGAGCAGGGGATGACTTTCTATTTCTTTGTGTCTTCTTTTATTTCTTTTAACAGTGTTTTATAGTTTTCTTTGCATAGGTCATTTACCTCTTTTGTAAGGTTTATTCCCAAGTATTTGATTTTTTTTTTGTTTAAATAATAAAAGGGATTTTTTTTTGGTATTTCTTCTTCTTCAGATTTATTGTTTGTGTATAGGAAGGCTACTGATTTTTGTGTATTGATTTTGTGTCCTGCCACTTTACTAAACTGATTGATTAGTTGAATTATTTTTTCTGTGGAGTTTTTGGGATTCTCTATGTATATTATATCAGGCATGATCTATTATTAGCTGAAGTTTCAGCCTATCTCCCTTCTCAAGAGAATTGGTGAGGGGAATATTAAAACCCCTACCTCTTAATCATGACTTGATTTTTCCAGTAACTATCCTTCATCTAGGAGCCCATTCAGTGTTCCTCATTAGAATAAAAGATGCAGCTGTTGCCCAGGAAATTATGAGTTTTGGGAGCCATTTTTTTGAAAGTAAGGTCAAAGACCAAATATTTAAATAAAAGATGCTCTTAGTTTTCTTATCACCCAGAAAGTTACAAGATTTCAGGAAGCCTGTGTCAGGCGAGATTAATAAATATATTCTATTATCTCAGACCTTATAATTAAAGTGACATAATAGAGAATATAGATTGAAATGGGAATAAGAGTGTTTCTGGGTATACTGGGGAATCTCTTGTATGATGATTTGGATTGGTGTGGTGGTAGAAATAGAGATATATTAAATAAATAAAAATGGGGCATATGACAAATTTTAACGTACTGAATTTGATCAGCTTTTATTTCCCATCTTCGAGTGACCATGCCCTATTCTAAGGCTTATGACCAAAAACAATATCCCCTATTTAAAAACCTCTTTTTCCCAATATACACTGAAGTAGTTGTACCATTAATAATTTGAGTTTAACAAAGTAATCTTATTGTTTTGTTTTTTTTTTAAGATTTATTTATTTATTTTACAAGCATTGGGTCCAGTCAGAAGCGTGGGAGGGTGAGAAAATTCACCAAAGCCAGAGCGGGGAACAGAACAGGCAGACTGACTGAAAATACACTGCTGAGGGAAGCATCGGGCGCTGCAGGAGAGGTCTGCTTTGCCATGTGGGACTATCACCGGCGGCCAGGAATCAAACAGGCGCTGGAGAGGCTGTGGGCAGCTTAGCAGCCCAGTGCTCAAAAACACTGCATCACCAGGGGAGGCCCAGAGTAATTTTATTATTTACTGTTTAGGAATCTGGGAAAGTTTTTAGTATATCAAATTGATTTTTCAGCAAGAGATTTTTTTATAACAAAGAACTTTTTTAGTAATTATTGGGATGGGGGTTTTGGTAAAGTTCAAATTGTAATGGTATTTATTATAATGAGATTTTACTTACTCATCATAGTACTTTATGTTTTCAGCAAGTCTGCAGTTATTTTTTTTAATAAGTCATTTTCTTTGCCTATAATATTAATATGTTAGGGGTTATTCATTTTTCTACCATGATTTAGGATAAAATGTACTTTCTGGTTTCACAAGACATGAATATTTCTGGATGTTCCTGATGTGTAAAATGCTGGTGTGTTCCTAAGTGAAATGCAACTTGGAGCGTATTGTTAATTATGTATTCTCTAACAAGGAGTTAAGGAAATGCAACAATGATCTAAATCAGGTGTCAGCGACCTTTTTCTTTATAGGTCTGATAGTAAATATTTTAAACTTTATTGTCCACATATGGTGTTTTTTACAACATTTTAAAATTGTAAAAAATATTCTTATCTCATAGGCTTTGTGTACAAAAATGAGGGTGAGAGCCAGATTTGGCCTTCAGGCCACATTTTGTAGACTCCTAATCTCTAAGGTCTCCATAAACTGATATTCTTTGATTTATTGGGAGGGAAACGTGCATAGAACATAGAACTTATTTTTTTTAGTAGCACACTAGTTTTTCAGATAGCATATTAAATGAAGCCTTCAAATATAAAGTAGATGAAAGGGCAGAGTCACTGTTTTTTCAGAGTCCTCTGTTTGTATCATTAGACCTTCCAAAATTCAATCTGAATACCAGGTATTAGAGAGCGCTGTATGAAGAACAATAATGGTTTGTCTATGGCAGAATTGCTTGTTTTTTTTTTTAATTTTTTTTAATTTAATTTAATTAATTTATACAAGCACTGGGTACAGTCAGAAGCGCGGGAGGGTGAGAGAATTCACCAGAGCTAGAGCGGGGAGCAGAGCAGGCAGAAGGACCAAAGCACACTGCTGAGGGGAGCAGTGGGTGGCAGGAGAGGTCTGCGTGCCATGTGGGACCCTCCTCCAGTGGCCAGGGAGCAGCCGGGGATCCAACCGGCCCTGCCGAGGCTGTGGGCAGCTTCACAACCCAGCTCTCAACCACTGTGCCACCGGGGAGGCCCAGGATTGCTTGTTAATGATTCTATTTATGACCTTTCCTATGGCCTTTTAAACAGTAGAATTCTAGAAATATAAATTCTACCTCAGGGAGCTGATTAATGAGGTGTAACTGTTTTGGACTATCTTTATTTTAAACACCTTTTGGGGTCTTCTCTCTGTTGAATATTTTATGAAATCAGCACTTAAACGTATGCGGAACTCTAACTGAATTGTTTTTTTTTTTGTAGTGGCCATGAAGTAAATGTTGTTAAATTGGTGTGTATGAATTCATCTGTGCCAGATAGATAACTCGCTCCTAAGACTGGACCAAATAAACCAGATAGTCAGTGTTGTTTTTCATTTATAACATTGATTTTTATCACAGGGACATGATGATGAAGTATTTGTTTTGGAAGCACACCCATTTGATCAAAGGATCATACTTTCGGCAGGTCATGATGGGAACATTTTTATTTGGGACCTTGACCGGGGGACCAAAATTCGGAATTATTTTAACATGGTAAGGAAAAGCTGTGCTTAGTTCATATTAAAACTGATTTCTATTTATTTAATGACTTGGTAGTTAAAGTATGGTTAGTGCCAAGGAACCTCTTATTGTCTGTGCTTTAATACATAAAATAATGGCAGAAAATGTCTCAAGATCTAAGAGTAAGGGCAGTCAAAATTATGCCTTTAGCATAAATGTTATTAGCATTTTCCAAATTCTGAACCCCAGTTCTAAACTCTTGAAACTCAAATTTGGAATTAACATTAACCAAAAATCACGAAAGTTTAATATTAAAGTGTAATCTTAATTTATGAATCACCACAGTGATTATGTTATATCTGCCTCTGGAAAACTCATTTGCTTTGTTATCAGGAAGTTGTTTTGTGAACATGGAATCGGAGGTAGAGATAGTCAAGTATATTTCATCCAAATCATTGAAAAATCTGGTGGGCTTTCTCTTCTCCCAGGAGAACTCTTCCTATGGTAATAGGATTACTCATATCCTGCATGTTTAGTGCCCTTCTCTGAAGAATAGTTTCGACTAAACATTTCTAAATTATTTGCTGTTGAGCTCCCTTTTATAGGCTTTTTACAGATACCTGGAACATTAATAATATCTTCTGTATTTTGAGAGTAAAATCAATTTGTGTGCTTTGATTTTAAGGTGGTTATTTTAAGGTTTAAATGCACTACAATTTAGGATGTGAAAATAAGTATCTTCACGTTGCTTACCTATGTCAGTTTTGTTGTATTTAGTATTTTTTTCTCTTTAGTCACTCATTTAGTATTTCTTGAGGTATGACACTGCTAAAAATAATTTCTTTCAGGGCTTTATTGTTTCAGTAGGGTTCTGGGAACAGAAACCAGAGAGGGCATTGGAATGTTGATGCATCACAGAATTCATGACATTGGCAAGGGACATTATTACCTAATTATTATTTGAAAATAACCTCCTAAGTGACTTAAAGTGATCCTTCTAAATTTCAGATTGAAGGCCAAGGCCATGGTGCAGTGTTTGATTGTAAATTTTCACCAGATGGAAACCATTTTGCCTGTACAGATTCTCATGGACATTTACTGCTTTTTGGTTTTGGATGCAGTAAATATTATGAAAAGGTTAGTACATTTAATTTTTGTTGCAGGCAACAATTTTGGATAGTATCATTCATAAAATTAGAAGCCTTCCAGTTAATGTTAATAAATAAGACTAATAAAGTCACCTTTCTTGGTAAATTTTTTTCATCACTGCTTGGAACATATTCTTTGTACTGCCTTTTAGGTGTAATTGGAGAACAACTACCAAATTATGTTCTCTACTTATCCTAAATTGAGAATTAATAGCTGATGACTGGATGTTTAATTTGTTGCTTGGCTATTTTACTTATTATTGATCTTGTTAAAATACTTTGGATAATAACTCATTTAGTGCCTTATATTTTATTAGCTGTGAATTTGGAATAGGTTATAAAATTTTGGAGTTGAAAGAGAACTTAGAATTGTTGAGATCAACTCAATATTTGTATCTCCTTTGAGTAGTTTTGATGAAATTGATACTTACCTGCCTTTCCACTTATTTTATACTCCATTTATCCTTGTTCGAATAAAAATAAGCAAGAAAAATAGTCATAAAGGTCTGTATGCATTTTGTAATTCAAGTAGAAATACTTACCTTTGGAACTTTGATAGGGATTTCCAAGAATAAATACCACTCAGTTACAGTGTATTTCTTATTAAAAATAAGATGAAGAAAATAAAATGGTAAGTAAAAGTTCCATTTTTAGAGCCATATGGATTTTCTCAGTGGCAAATTGTTTAGAGTTTTTTTTTTTTTTTTTTTGCTTTTTAAACATTTAAGTGTTTTCACTATTTTTATTCTATAATAAAATCTATATAAAAAGTATGAGTAATTAATGGAAAACAAACAACTAACTTTACTGTATTTGTTGCTTTATTTCTCTCTATCCTAATTGAAGAAAGATAATATAGGTTCAGAAAATAATACAGCTGTAGGATTTTTTGGAGAAAAGAGGACTACCATCTAGGTGATTCACTTCTACCTGAGGAGAACATATGGCAATAGAGAACTATAAAAATGCAAAAATTGTCTGATTTGAAAAATGCATGTGCTCTAGGAATGAAAATAAGTGCCTATCTACAAATGCCCTTTGTATGTTACATTCTAAAATCTTTCATAAAGATTCCAGATCAGATGTTCTTCCACACGGATTATCGACCTCTTATCCGTGATGCCAACAACTATGTATTGGATGAACAAACTCAACAAGCTCCTCACCTCATGCCTCCCCCATTCTTAGTGGATGTTGATGGAAATCCTCATCCCACAAAATTCCAAAGGCTAGTGCCAGGACGGGAAAATTGTAAAGATGAACAACTTATACCACAGCTGGGATATGTGGCTAATGGTATGTTATTTCAAAAATTAAATTAAAACATTTATAAAATGTTATATTTACTGCTATACTCTCTATGGCATATGTCCCTCTGCTAAACTCCACAGTAGGTTATACTTTATTTTATATAATACTTCCATTAATTTTCAGTTGCATAATGCTTTTTACCTTACTGGATTGTTTTTACATTGTTTATCTCACCTGGACACTAATAAATGAATTAGAACAAACAAGCATGTGCTGAAGCAGAGAATGTGTTGACCTGCTTCCTTAGAAACCCTGAACATATGTATGATCCTGCTGTTTGTAGTGTTGACTTCTAGCAATGATTAAATGTGCTAACTGTAATGTATCAAGCTTTTATAATCGGTATTATTTTATTGCTTATAGCCTTGGTATTTTAATTTCAGAGCCCATAGTTAGTGGACCCAAGAAGAGAAAATTTCAAACACCACAAATTTGGTAGTGGCTGCCTATCACCATGTTTGAATTGAAAAGAGTTATTGTATGTTGGGAGGGAGATGTGAGTGTTTAAATAATACTCAATATTGGAGGATATTGAGCACATAATGATAGGTGTGATGGAAGGATAGTAGAATAAGGCATTGAAATAAGCTATTCTCCAGCAAAGCAGCTCTTCTGGTTATTTCCCTTAGGTGTACTGTTTCTTCCACCCTACCTTCCACACCAGAATGTTTTCTTATCTAGGTTTGTTACTTGTAGGTTTTCTTCCACATATTAGCTAGTGAGTTATTGAATTGCAAGTGGAATTTTATTTCTTCACTAGGGAATTAAGACTTGAATTAGCCTTTATAAGGTGAAATATGTTGTACATCATTTTATGTTTTCTTTCATAAAAGCAGTATAATTTGTGGGGCATTGATATGGTGTTACATGTGCTGATAGTTACTCTGATGAAGTCACATTTATCAAACAAGGGTGGAAATATGAATATTAAATAGGAGACAAAACTGAAAACATCTGAATAAAAAGTCTTATTTCATTTCATTTCCTATAAAACCTGACCACTTGGTTTCTCTATCAGATGACATTTAATCTGACTAGCAGTCAAGAAGAAAAACAGGTGTACAGGGGCCTCCCTGGTGGCGCAAGGGGTTAAAAAGCAGCACTGTGAAGCTATCTGCAGCTACTGCAGCACGAGTTCCATCCCCAACCAGGGAGGTCACCCACATGGTGCAGCAGACCTCTCCTGACTCGCCCGCTACTCCCCTCTGCAGTGTATTTTGGTCAATCTGCCTGTTCTGTTCCCCACTCTGTCTCTGGTGAATCCTCTCATCCCCACCCCCGCACCTCTGGCCTGTGCCACAGTTCTTGTATGCATAAATAAATTAATCTTAAAAAAAATGTGTACGATGATTTTAAGAAAGAAAAACGTCATAGAAATAGATTTTATTCAGACGTAATTGTTGAATTTCAGTGTATAGGAAGTAATTTTTCTACTCACCAACATACTAAGGTGCTATCAAAAGATTATATAAAACATAATTTTGATATCTTTCAGAAAGGAAATTCTCATCAAAGAAACAAACTTTCTCTTCTGGAGGTTGTCTCTCTAGAGTTTTTTTTTAATCTGTTGCCTAGAAATTTATGAGTTAAGCTTGATTTTACTGTATATAGGGTATTTTAAAATATAAATAATGTTTTAGTTTCATATCTTTGGTCTCATTAAGGTGATGGTGAAGTAGTGGAACAGGTAATTGGGCAACAAACCAACGACCAAGATGAGAGCATTCTTGATGGAATAATCAGGGAGCTACAGAGGGAACAAGATCTGAGACTAATTAATGAAGGAGATGTTCCACATTTTCCAATTAATAGATCATACTCTGCTAATGGTGGTATGTATTTATTTATAAAGGTATAATAAATATACTACATTTATTTGTACCAAGTAATTCCATTTTAGGTTTTGCTTTATTTTTCTATCAACTGACAAATTTTTTTTTTTCCCAAATTATGTTTATTGAGGTAAAGCAGATTTACAGCTTTGTAACTATTCTTGGTATTATAGGTTTAAAGCTCTGCAAATGTATACTCTTACACCCTGCCCACCACCAATATCCCAATAATCCTCCACCAATGTTCCATTGGGTGCCTTCCCTCCCCCACTCCCACCCTGCCACCTCCCCTTCTGGTTGCCTCAGTTTTGTAGTCAGATGTTAAAAGTTTATTATTGGTTCGGTTTTGACTGACCAATAATAAAAATAGAATCATTTTTTATTAATCTGTGATATATGTACCAAAGTGCCTTAATCTCATTATAATTTGTTATTTGTATAAATTACAAATTTATAATTTGTAAAATGACAAATTTTAAAGACTCTCTTTTAAAAACTCTATAATGTATTTGCTGTCATTGCTTCTGTTTAAATAAGCAAGGTGCTGCAATAAATCCATCCCCTTCATAGGGGAATCAACCTTTAAAATTTTCAAAATTAAAGCCACTATAAGTTTAAAAATCATTACCAAAAAAGTTGCCTTCTTTTGTTGACAAGAACGCTGCCCTCTTCCTGGGAAATACAAGTATAACTTCTGAATTGAATTTCACAGTGGTTTGACCTCATTTCCACTATTTTTCTAATCTGTTGTTTCTCTTCTTTCATTTTACATGAAATGTGTCTATGCATCTGAGTTTTACATAAATTTTACCTTACATCAGTTTTACTTTTATCAAAAACTATTAGTTTTGTTTTCAATTTAAATCCTCATGGGATTTTGGCAGATTTGTTTCTTTTTTCATTTATGGATTTGGGGTATTTTTATGTAACATGGCCAATTTGGAGTCCACAGAAACAAATAAAGTGATTTAAATTTGAGGTGATTCACAGGTTATTTTACATATTTCCTGATTTCTTTAGTATTTCATAAAATTAAGAGATTCTTTTTTTCCCATCTTTTGGATCACCTAACTCAGATAAACTTTCCTTAATTTAGAACAATAATAAGAAGTGAGGTGATAATCCTATATATCAGGCCCTTTGTTCCTAAAACATTAAACTTGCTTAGAAACCTGATTTAGAGATCCATTAATGAAATCAGCATGTACTTCTACATCCACTACTATGTTTCTATGGATAGATTTGAAATGTCATTAGTAAAAGAACTCCATTGACTTCTATTTGCAGTGTTCATTTGTTTTGAGTAGTTTCTGGTACTTTTAACAGTTGAACATCCAGTTTTTATTTTTGTTTTATTTGTAAATACACAAAATTAAATTTGTAGGGACCTTTCTGGAGGATGAAAAAAAAAAAGCTTAAATGCAATGAAAAATAAAAATTAATGAAAGCTTAAATGTGCTGTCAATTCTGTCATCCTTTAATTGCTTATTACTTTTTTTTAAGATTTATTTATTTATTTTATACAAAAACCAGGGTACAGGCCAGATGCGTTGGGAGGGTGAGAGTATTCACCAGAGACAGAGTGGGGTACCAACAGGCAGACTGACAAAATACACTGCTGAGGGGAGCAGCAGGTGAAACAGGAGAGGCATGCCGCACCATGTGGGACCCTCGCCGGCTGGCTGGGATCGAACCAGTGCTGCAGAGGCTGTGGACAGCTCCACAGCGCAGCGCTCAACCGCCTGCGCCACCAGGGGAGGCCCTGCTTATCACTCTTAAAAATAAAATTTTTGATCGTTAAAACAGTTTTGCACTTTTTATTTTACTATTTTTTCCAGTTATCCTTTTTTTGACTTTATTTATTTGTTTTTAACATTTATCATTTTTTAAATTTTTTAGACAATATTTGCTTCCCCTCACCCCCTTATTTTACTAGTTTTGAAAGCATAGATTTTATTCAGAAACCTTTTTTTAATTTTTTATTTTATGTATTTTTACACCATTTTTCATTTTTGTACAATTCAGAAACCTTTTAATGGATTAAATAAAAGGAGAATTGAGATTAAAAAACGTTTTTGAACAAGTACTAATAAACATTTGACTCTACCAAATTATGTGAAATATACTTTTTAAAAATTTACTGAGCATTTAGTAGGTGACAGATGTAAAAATGCTTTGAAAAAATTTAAAGAACTGTGGAAAATTTAAACATTTATTGAGTACCTGCTTTATTCATAACAGTATTTACACTGTATAGAGGGTATAAGAAATTTAGAGCAAAGGGATAGCAATATTGAACAGCAATATTATCTTTGAATCTTCTATTTTATTTAGACCTCTGTTCAGAGTTGTACCTTTCTTGTTTTGGGTTTAGCTCTGAGAAGTCCAAATATGAATGTATCTTCTTCTTCAAATATTGGGCTCCGACGTAGTGGTCAAATTGAAGGTGTCCGACAAATGCATAACAATGCTCCTCGGAGCCAGATGGCCACTGAACGAGATCTCATGGCTTGGAGCAGAAGAGTGGTGGTCAATGAACTAAATAATGGAGTTAGTAGGTGAGTCAATAAGGTAACATTTGTAAGAAAGTTAAGAGCCTTGCTTTTTTTAGTACATAAATTAAAATGTATCATGTTAGTATAAAAATTGAAATATTTTTTAATCTAGCTGATTCATGTATCTTCAATTTGTTTAGCTTTGTGCTAAATGGTTTGGGGCATACCAAAAAGTGAAAAACATAATTTCTGTCTTCATATGTTTATAGTCTAGGTTAAGAGGAAGAATACAAATATTATTGAGTCAGAATATAAGACCATGGTGGTTTAATAATAGTAGTGATCTATAGATCCAAAATTCAGCAGTGATTCTGAGGAGAAGGCCATGAACTTGGCATTGGAGCAGTTTTGGAGTACAATACACATATGTAGAAGAATCAGGTGCTTGGGGGGGCTGTATTTAAGAATGTCATTTTAGTACATTTCCTTGGATGAAATATTTTCATTAGTATAAATTCAAACTTAGAATCCCTACTCTTCTTTGTAACACCCAACATGTACTTTAATTTTGATTCCAGATAATCCACATCAACTGGAAATAGATTTAGCAAAGAAAATGGACATTGACAGAAAACACGTAAAATCCATATTAATCATGTTATCTTCCTAAACTAGCCTTTTACCAGATCAACCAACAAGAAGCAAAATTAGTTTTTTTTTCCTTCATTTTTCTTTCTTTTCTTCTATAGTAATAAGAAAAAAGAAAGCATAGCCAACTTATACACTGAATGCTAACCTCTGATAGAAGAGCATTTTGTAATAAATCTGTTCAAAACTTTAAAACCGCCATTGTTAGCAGGGAATAAAGTAGAATACCATATTAATACCAATAGTTGAATGGTAGAAACAATTCAAGTTTCTGTCAACAGGTGAATGGATAAACAAAATGTGACCTACACATAAAGACTATGATTCAGCCATAAAAAGTAATGAAGTTCTGATAGCTTTTGCAACATGGGTCAACATTATGCTAAGTGAAATAACCAGACACAAACGGACAATAACATTTAATTCCACTTGCATGAATTTTCTAGAATATGCAAATTATACATGCATAAACTAGGTTAGAGGTTATTAGAGGCAAGGTGCAGAAGAAATAGGGAATTATTGTTAAATGGTTACAAAGTTTGTGGAGGTGAAAACATTTTGGAAATAGTGGTAATGTTTACACAACATTGTAAATGTAATTAATGTCACAGAATTGTGTACCTGGAAATGGTTAAAATGGCAAAATTTATATTTGAAAGTATTTTGTTTCCTGAATTTTAAAATACTGGTTTGCTTTTTGATTATTTTCTATTCTTAGGGTTCAGGAAGAATGTCGAGCTGCAAAAGGTGACATAGAAATCTGTCTTTATACAGTTGAAAAGAAAAAAAAGCCATCTTATACTACCCAAAGGGTAAGTTTAGTTTTACAATACTTTGGGATACACTATTTGCATACATTTATAGATATCAGGTTTTTGAAGGGTGGTACTTTCATATTAAGGGACTACTTTGAAAGGTATGTGCATATAAGAAACCTATTTTTTGAACACCAATTTGAGGTATAGATTTATTATAAATAAAGTTTAAATTACATATGGCCAGGGCTGCACCTCAAAAATCTAAGGTATAGGATATTGTAGGTATAGGATATTTATATTAAAATACCATTTTAATATGATAAAAGTAGAACATTAAAATTATTGCTTTATCACTAACTGCAATGTAAAACAAATGCTTAGATACCTATGCCAAAGGTTGGCCTGTGGTCCTGTGGCTCGTGGCTACTTCCCATGGGCTAAATTTGGTCTGGTACCCATTTCTGTTAATAAAGTTTTACTGGAATGGAGACACACTTATTCATTTATATGTTATCTCTAGCTTGTTTTATGCTATACAGAGTTGATCAGTTACAACAGATGTCATATGACATGTAAAGCTAAATATATTTACCCTTTGACGCTTTACAGAAAATGTCTTCTGATCCCTGCCCTAGACCCACTCCTGTCCTACCTTAATCATATAGGATCAATATCTGATATATGCACTGGGAAGATTCATATTTCCAATAGAAATTGCTGATCAGGCAGTAAGATTCCTATTTCCACTAGGTACATTGTAAGCTCCTTACTGGTACTTTGAGATTGAACGAACTAGTAACATAAGAATGTGTAGTTTTTATCTCCAGATCTAACCACAACTCTTAAAGAATATGGTAGCTTTCTAGACTAATTTTGATTTTATTTAAAAAGTCTAGCTAACGGACCCTGGATTTTAGTTTTTTATTTGATATGGGTAAACACATGTTTAGGTAATTATCTTGAATATCTCCATATATTCTTAGATCACTTTAATGCTTGCTTTCTTAATTTCTGTTGTTTTGTTAGTTAATATGATATTCTCTGATTTTGAATAATTTTGACTCAGACTTTTGACTGAGTCAAAATCATTTTGACTCAATGATTTTGACTCAGATTCACTATTTATATTCCTTTTTCCTGCTAAGCTGATATGTCAAATAGCAGACTTATCTGAGACTAATAAACAGGGTAGTTGAATCTGTAAACATTTTTATTTATATTGACAGTGAAATGTTTACATAAAAAAAACTGGTGCTACATGCTGATTCATAAGACTTTTAAACTTTTTTATTCCTGATGACGTATCAGGGTTATAGTTTTGACATGGTATATCAGTAATAATATTTTATACTTGTAAAGGTTAGAATAAAATAGCTTTCACTTTAAATTTTAGATGTTAAAAATTAAATCTTAATTTAACCTGTTTATTAAATATAACTTTATAAAGCCAAAGTATATATTAAAAATTTTATATAGATAGTTAATGTTACAGATAATCTTGCTTCATTCTATATAAATTGTGAATAATGTAATATATGTATATTCTGGGTGGGAAAATTCTTGCAGTCCATACTTTCAACACTGCCTTTGATGTGATCACAACATTTTCAAAAGAGATGAGTATCAAGATTAGTAGAAGGTGGATTAAATATATGTAAATACAGTTATATCTTGGTTTTTCTTCTTTTGGATTTATTCTTATCCCTTACTGTTTCCATCCACACCAATTTATTTTCTTTATACATATTTCTTTGTGTACATTCACTGAACCTTTCATTTTTTAAAATCCATTTTCCTTCTCTTCCATAGAACGATTATCAACCTAGCTGTGGGCGATCTTTACGAAGGACACAGCGAAAGCGCCAGCACACTTACCAAACACGGTCCAACATAGAGCATAATTCGCAAACATCAAGTCAAAATTCAGGTGTACAGGACGACTTAGACAGCTCCTCAGAGGTTAGATACTCAATATTATTTGCTCAATGTAATTTTTTTGCTTCCCAACTAGTATCAATTTGGATTTGCCTTTAAGGGTTGCTTCTCTATTAGAAAATTATTTTAATGATTTTCTTGTAATATTTTTATTCATTAGTAAGGTATTTAATAGGCAAATTTAGACATTATACTTAATTCCTTTCAATATCTTCCCTGATTTATATCTAAAATATTGTCTTGGCTGTGGGTATCACGCATACCAGGAAAGTTTGGTTTTGGGTATAGTGAGAAAAGGTAGTGAAAAGAAATCTGCTTAGAAATGGAAGTAAATATAATATAAACAGTGGCAACTACACAGTCACAACTGGTTAACTAATTATCAGAACATGCACATTGTCATAATGATTTCATCAGTCAGAGAGATTGATGAGTATTGGTTTTTCTTATATCAAAAGAGTTGCTTTGATGGAGAATAGCTTATTTCGAAGCCTTATTCTACTAATTGCTTCAGCTAGGACTTCCAATAGTGTGTTGCAACTATCTCCTGCTGGAGATGGTAGAGTTCATTAAGATCCAGGATGATTACCTGGACCTCTTTGGGGATTCCAGTGTGACTGGCAGGATAGGTACTGACATCCAAGACAAAAAGTGCAGCTGGCTGGAGGTTCAATGTTTGCAATGAGCCTCTCCAGAACAGTGTCAGATCCTACAGAACTATGGGCAGAAGGATGCAAAAAAGATGGCCTGGATAAAGACACTATGTAAGGCACTGAATCTGCCAGCTTTGTTCCTGCAATACGAGGAAGACAGTTTAAACAGCCTTATGAGTATGCTGCACCCCTACCCCCATCCATCTTCCTGGACTCGCACACAAAGATCTATAAGCAGAAAAAGTAACTTAGAGAATGAAGAACTGGAAGGGAGGCTCTCATTAAATTATTGTCTAACCTTGAAAAAATAAATATGAAAACTGATATAAAATAATTTATGACTATATAGCCTGCACTGTCCACAGTTCCAAATTATGGAGCCAACTCAGTGCCTTTCAGCAGAGAAATGGATAAAGAAATTGTGGAATATCTACTACACAGCTATGCAAAGGATGAAATATAGTGGCTTTGGGTACAAAATGGATGGCTCTTGAGGTGATTATGTTAAGTGAAAGTTATATAGTGAAAGAAAGAGTGGATTGTTTTACTCCTCTGTGGAATATAAATAATCAAAAAACATACACAGGCAAAATATAGTGAAAGAATTTAATTGTTACCAGAAGGAACATGAGGGTGGGGTGGGGGGGAGGTTGCTTAGGAGAGGTGTCAGGGAAAGGAGCACAAAAAATTTTGACAGAAAGCGAATGGTTTGGTGGAGAATGAATGGAACATGTGCACATATGGAAGAGCAAAAGAGCAAAAATGTTATCCTCAAAATTAAAATAAAAATAATTTTTGAAAAGAATTCTAATTCAAATAAATACTTACAGTTAAAATGACTTTTTTGGTGAAAATTTACTTCACAATAATTGGTAAAATGAGGCAGTTTTGAGGGTACAGATAATACAAGGTAGGCAGTGAGTTATTTTCTAAACTGGAGATTATGCAAGGTTGTGTTCTTTATCTCTGCTTTTATGTATTTAAAATTTTATACAAGGATAATTAATATTTTATGTATAGTAATTTTATTCACTTGGTAGAGATATATAGCAATTTTTTGAGACGAGAGGTTTTTTTTTTTTTTTTTTTTAGTTTATGCAGTTCTATTTGTTTGTTTTTAATTGAGGTAATAGGTAATATTTGTATATTCCCATCAGGTATTATCACCTTGGTGAATCCACCAAGAAATCACTCATAACTCATAGTCCACCACCATAGTCCTTTGTGCTTCCTTATCTTTTTGTGTTTACACAAGTTGACTTCAGTTCTGTAGTCAACTATCAAGGGCTAGATTTAAGCTTGTCTTTATCTGACTCTTAGTTTAGTTGCTTTATAGTCCACATATTAGTGAAACCATCAAGTATTTATCTTTCTCCTTCTGACTTATTTCACTTAGCAATATATCCCTTCCAGCTCCATCCATGTTGCCACAAATGGCATGAGTTTTTCTCTTTTGATCATTGAGTAGTATTCCATTATGTTTATACAACACATCTTCTTGATCCACTCATTTGTTTTGGGGCAGTTCATTTGTTTGCATAATTTAGCTGTAGTAAATAGTCCTACAATAAATATGGGAGTGCAAATTTCCTTCCAAATGAGTGTTTTCAAAATTTTTCAGTTACTTAGACGTAGAAATATTGTGTGAAAAGCCAGGTCCATTGTTAATGTTTTGAGACTCCTCCATACTGCTTCCCTAAGGGCTGGACTGGTTTGCATTTCCACTAGCAGTGTGAGAGGGTTCCCGTTCCTCCACATCTTTTCCATCCTTTGCTGTTTCTGGACATTTCAATATGGGCCATTCTCACAGGTGTGAAAATTGTGGTCTTGATCTCATTGTCTTGATTTGTACTTCCCTAATGATAAGTGTTGCTAGCATTTTTTCACATGCCTGTTTACAGTTTGTATGTCTTCTTTGGAGAAGTGTCTGTTTATTTCTGTGCAGTTTTTACTGGCTTATTTGTTTTCTTTTTGTAGAGGTTTAAGAGTTCTTGGTATATCTTTGATCATCATTCTTTTGTCAGATGTATGTTGTACAAATATTTTTTTCCTCATTCAATAAGGTATCTTTTTGTTTACATTTTAGTTTCTTTCCCTGTGCAAAAGCTTTATAGCTTAATGTAGTCCTAATTGTTTATGTTCTCTTTTGTTTTCCTTGCTATTGGGGATGAATCGCTAAATGCATCACTAAACTTTAACCTATGAAATGTTTTGCCTATATTGTCTTCTATGTATTTTATGGTTTCAGGTTTTACATCCAAGTTTTTAATCCATTTTGAATTTATTTTTGTGTGCGGTGTGAGATAGTGGTCTAGTTTCATTCTTTTGCATGCAGCTGTCCAGTTTTCCCAATACTTTATTGAAGGAGGCTATCCTTGTTTCAGTGTATGTCTTTGGTTCTTTGTCAGAGTAACTGTCCATATAAAAAGAAAGTTACAGACCAGTCTCCCTAATGAACACAGACACAAAAATCCTTAATAAAATCCTAACAAACTGAATCCCACAATACATTAAAAGGATCATACACCAAGATGAAGTAGGATTCATACCAGGGATACAAGAATGAATGATTTAACATCAAAAATCAGCCCAAGTTATTCACATTAACAAAAAGAAATATAAAAAATTACGCGGTCATATCAATAGATTCTGAGATAGTATTTGATAAGCCCCAACATCCATTTATGATGAAAAAACGGGATTAAACACAATGTACCTTAATATAATAAAAGTCATCTAAACCAAACCTACAGCTAATATCATTTTTAATGGTGAAAAAGGAAAGCTTTTCTACAAAGATCTGGCACAAGACATGGATGTGTATTCTTATCACTAGTAGTAAACACAGTATTGGAAGTTCTAGCTAGAGCAATTAGACAAGAGAAAGGTATAAAAGGAATCCAATTTGGAAAGGAAGTAAAGCTATCATTATTTGTAGGTGAGAACCCTCAAGAGTCCATTGAAAGACTAATTGAAACAATCAATTTAGCAAAGTGAAAAGGTATAAAATCAACAAGAAAATCAGTTGCCTTCATATATACAATGTGATAGATTAAAAATAAATTAAGAAAGTGATCTATCAAAGGAGGTAGAAGTTATATACAAAGAAAACTGTAAGCCATTGCTGAAAGAAATAGAAGACACAAAGAAATAGAAAAATATTCCCTGTTCATGGATTAGAAGAGTCAACGTTATCAAAATGGCCATCCTACCTAAACCAATATATAGATTCAGCACAGTTCCCATAGAAATATTAACGGTGTTTTTCAAAGAACTGGAGGAAATACTTCTGAAATTCATATGGAATCACAAAATACCCTAAAGAGCAAAAGCAACTCTCATAAAAAAAGAAAGAGAATGGAATTATCAGATTCCCAGACCTCAATTTATATTATAAAGCCATAATAACGAAAACAGCCTAGTACTATATCAATAACAGACACACAGAATAGTGGAATAGAATTGAGAACCCAGAAATAAACCCACCCACAGATACTTTTAAAACAAATGGATTTAACTTTTAAGAGACTTATATTTGGAAGTCTTTTTAAAAAAAAAATATTTACACAAGCACTGGGTACAGTCAGAAGCACGGAAAGGTGAGAGATTTCACCATAGCTAGAGCGGGGAACGGAACAAGCAGACCAACGAAATACACTGCTGAGGGGAGCAGCGGGCGTGGCAGGAGAGGTCTGCCGCGCCATGTGGGACCCTCACCGGCAGCCGGGGATCGATCCAGTGCTGCAAAGGCTGCGGGCAGCTTCATAGCCCAGCACTCAACCGCTGCGCCATCCGTGGAGGCCCTTATATTTGGAAGTCTTAAGAAGGCTGTTCAGTTTTTGAAATGATAAAATGATGCCTTGTATCAATAAGATAGTAGATGCTAGAAATTTTTAAATACCTGGTAGACTTACTTGTGTTATATATGTGTAAAAATGATTATATGTATTTTATTAGAATTTTTAACATTAAAAAAAGTGTTATAAAGCAGGTAGTGTGTATAATCATATATCTCAGTTGCTGGCTCTTTGTTGCAGGAAGATGAAACAGTTGGCACAAGTGATGCTTCTGTAGAAGATCCTGTTATTGAATGGCAAAGTGAAAGTTCTTCCAGGTAATTTTTTGATGGTTTTGTTTCATCAAAATTAGTTAACTGTTTAATGTGAAGAAATGTTCCTGGAGGAATTTGATAAAACTAGAGTTAAAATAGTAGAAAGTGTAGTTGACCAGAGACCTGTTCTTTTATCCTGGCTCTGCCAGTATCATTTTGGTCATATCATAATGAACTTTAGTTCTCTTGTCTATAAAATAAGATCTGCTTTAAACCCAAAATTCTGTATCTTGGCAGGATGTATTTATTTCTGTTTCAAATCAATCCATTTAACCATTTCTAGGGATATAGAACAGTTTTATAATTTTTTTTTATGATTTGGATTGGGAATTTGAATTTTAAATCCTGTTATAAAAAAATAAGCATTATATTTTGTCTAAGAAACATTTCCCTAAAATCACTTAGGTAATGACCAAGATTCTATACTGATATTTATTTCTCTTATGTTAGAACAAAGTCAAATCATGTTATTCATAGTGTTGTTTGATTACAAATGATCTTCAATAAAGAGGAAAAACTATTCCTTTTCTAAACTTGCATATTCATGATTCCTATTTATTTACAGTGATTCTTCCAGTGAGTATTCTGACTGGACAGCAGATGCTGGGATAAATTTGCAACCTCCAAAAAGACAAACCAGACAGGCATCTCGGAAAATATGCAGCAGCTCTGAGGAGGAGAATTTGAAGTCTTTAGAAGATAGGCCAAAGAAACCTAAACAGACTAGAAAGAAGGTTTGTGATTTTACAGTTTGTGTTTCTGGGCTTTTTGTTTATCTTTGCCTTTGATAATTGAATATTTTGTAGTAACTTGACTTTTCTTTAAAAATAACATTCCATCTTAGGAACTAAGTAAATGAAATTAATTAAAATGACTTTAAAATGTAAAGAATTTTTGAAAATTTTCTGTTATCAAAAATAGAGTTCAGAATATATTCATTATTATTTTAAGTGTTATATTTAAACATAGTGACAATTATTTGTGAAAATGTAGAATTGTAAATAGTAAGCCACTATAGCATAAAAGTGTTATTCTTATCATGTCACCAGTCGTAAATTTCTATACATATTTGACTTGGAAAATGGAAAGAGTATAATAAATGATGTAGGACTTTTCTCCCATTTATGTTTTCATTTTCATCCCAATGATGATTTCTTTTCCCCACTATAATTTGGGTGATATAAGACTTAATCCTCATAGTTCTTTGAAGAATAACTTGAGATATTGTTGTGTATGCATTTTTTTTATAGCCAGAACAGGTTTGTTATAAAAGGGAAAGAAAAGTAAAGAACACTTGCACAGACACAAGCGGGCAGAAAGATCTGCCTCCCTAAAAGGGACAGATTTCTTAAAAAGAGGCCTGCATAATCACAGCTAGGCAGTCTTGGGAGGATAGCTGCCACTGCTGCTGTGCAAGGGGAAGTTGGTGAAGAGAAACACCTGCAGAGTCACAGGCAGGCAGAAGAATTGCTTCTATGTGTATGTACATTCTTTAGCCTCTTGCCATAGTAGATAGAATCATCTTGATTATTACCATTTTGTTGGCAAAAGTTATTGCTTATATTTGAATTCATTTGGTATTCTAGGGACATGAAAAATAAATTTGTGGGTTAGAGATAGTATATCATGTCATTATTATGTGTTAGGAAAAATTGAGCAACATGCTAAAGAAGTCACTTGATTGTTTTATTAGCACAAAATTTGTTGATAATTGGTAAAGGAAAATATTTAAAATTTATTTACTTTTAGCTTTTATTTTTAAACATTCTGTTATTTTTCATGCTACTATTCTTGTATTTATGATTCATACATTTGTGAACTATATTTTAGAAAGGAGGACTGGTTTCTATGGCAGGTGAGCCCAATGAAGAATGGTTTGCCCCTCAGTGGATCTTGGATACCATACCACGACGTTCCCCATTTGTTCCACAGATGGGAGATGAGGTAATTGTTAGCTGTTACAACCTTTTCCTCTTGAACATCAAGAGCTCTCACTTTAATAGTCTTAGGACATTTGTATTCTCACTTTTATTATAGTTACATGTACACTTACTTGCTCCACTCCATTATGTATTTCTTGTGACTAGTGAGTGAAACCTGTTCATCTTTTTATCTTTTGTAGGACCACAGAATCTTCCATCATGCTTAATGATTAGTGAACATAGAGATAGATTGGTTTGTAAAGTAATTAAAAGAATTGTTTTTTATGCCTATCTTCATTATCACTTAGTAGAACAGAGTGATACTTTGCATCCTAATTCAAGTCCTAATACTGAGATTTTAAAAACAAAGCCCACTTTAAAAAAAAAATAATTTATTTATTTATATATATATATTTTTTGCATCAGTTTTTTTGTACAATGTTTGCTTCCTTTTCTCAGGTGTGGTCCCCATAGAATTTCCACCACCAATTCAACATCACCATAGTCCCTTGTGCTCTTCCCACCCTCTTTTTGATCCCTCTCCTTCCTCGTCCCCCTCCCCTGCAGAATGTCTCTGATTTATAGTTTTCTCTTTATTTTGTTTTGTTGTGTTTTTTATTGTTGTTACATTTTTGCTGAATCCCATATTTGGTTCCCCTATATTCCTCCTATAAGTGAAACCATCTGATATTTTTTTTTTCCTTCTGACTTATTTCACTAAGCATAATCCCCTCTAGCACCATCCATGTTGCTGTGAATGGCACTAGTTTATCTTTTTTGATTGCTGAATAGTATTCTATTGTGTATATGTACCATATCTTCTTGATCCAGTAATCTATTTTTGGGCATTTGGGTTGTTTCCAGGTCTTACCTATTATAAATAGTGCTGTGATAGATGTAGGGGTACAGTTAACCTTTTGAATTAATGTTTTGTGTCCTTTGGGTAGATCCCTAGCAGTTGAATTGCTGAGTCATATGGTAGCTCCATTTTAGTAGTTGGAGGAACCTCCACACAGCTTTCCATAGTGGTTGGACCAGCTTGCATTCCCACCAGCAGTGTAAGAGAGTTCCTTTTTCACCACATCATCGCCAGTATTTGTTGTTGCTAGTTTTTTTTTTTTAAGTTTTATTTTTATTTTTATACAAGATCTGGGGTACAGGCCAGAGGCACAGGAGGGTGAGAAGATTCATGAAAGACAGAGTGGGGAGCAGAACAGGCAGGTAGACTAAAATACACTGCCTAGGTGGGCGAGACAGGAGAGTTCTGCTGCACTGTGTGGGATTCTCCCTGGAGGGCCGGGAATTGAACCCTCACTGCATTGGCTGTGGACAGCCTCATGGTGTGGCGCTCAACCCGCTGTGCCACTGGGGAAGCATGCTAGCTTTTTTAATATGTGCCAATCTTATTGGTATAAGTTGATACCTCATTGTGGTTTTGATTTGCATTTCCCTGAATATAAGGGATGTTGAACATTTTTTTCATATGCCTGTTGGCCATTTGCACTTCCTCTTTGGAAAAGTGTCTTAAGTTTTTCTGCCTCTTTTTTGACTGGATTGTTTGCTTTGCTTTTGTTCAGTCATGTGAGCTTTATGTAGATCTTTGTGATCAATCCCTTATCAGTTGTATGGAGTGAAAAATTTTCTCCCAATCAGTAGGGTGTCTCTTTGTTTTGGTTAATGTCTCTTTTGCTGTAGAGAAGCAAAAAAAAGTTTGATTTAATCCCAGCTGTTTATCTTTTCCTTCAGTTTCTTTGCTTTGGGGGATGAGTCTTTAAATATGTTACTGAGATGTGTATCATGTAGAGTTTTACCTATATTTTCTTCTATTTATTTTATGATTTCAGGTCTCATGTTCCTTCTTTTATCCATTTTGAGTTGATTTTTGTGCATGATGTGAGGTAGTGGTCTGCTTTCATTCTTTTGCTTATGGTGGTCCAGTTTTCCCACCACCATTTATTAAAGAGACTGTCCTTGTTCCAGTGCATATTGTTTGCTCCTTTGTCAAAGATTAGTTGTCCATGTATGTGTGGCTTTATTTCTGGGCTTTCTATTCAGTTCATTGGTCTATGTGTCTGTTTTTGTCCCAGTACCATGCTGTTTTAATTATTATGGCTTTGCAGTATAGTTTGATGTCTGGGATTGATACACCTCCATTCTTCTTTGTTTTCATCATTAGAGCTTTGGGTATTCGAGGTTTTTTGTGGCTTCATATGAATTTCATCAATATTTAGTCTATTTCTTCGAAGAATGTCATTGAGATTTTTATTGGAATAGCATTGAATCTGTTAATTGCTAAAAAAAGCCCACACTTAATCTAGTAAAAAATATAATAAAAGATATTCAACCTTGATTCAGGGAATGTCTTTGTACAAATAGGCCCTTCCTTGTGAGCCTTTCATTGAATAACAGACATATTTATAATTGGTCAATCAAATATTAATTACATTTCTAGATGGTGAAAAAATAATAAAATTGTATTTGCTTATGAAATTGCAGTGACATAATATTAGTTCTCTTTGGTTTGTATAGTCTCTGACATAATTGACCAATTATTCAATTTTGAGTGAATGCTTACAGTTTTCAATTTAAGATTAATAATAGGAATGTGATATTGTCAATGAAATAAAAGGAGTACAACCTTGCAAATGGTTAAAAATTTTCCCAATCTTTTCTGTAATTGCCTGTTATATTTTGCCACAGGTAGCTAGCAGATAGCCTTATGAATAAGCTACTACCTGCTGATTTTTTATTATGCTTAGATATTATTAAAGTGTTTCCTTTCATAAGTGTGTCTTTGTAGGTATTGTACTTTGAGCAACACCTGTTTGTGATTATGTTAGTAGAATATGCTCTGATGAATACTGTAATAAAATGAAAAAACTGAAAGAGCTTTCTTTAAGAAATGTCCAAAATCAAAATTTCTTATTTATTGCCTATTTTTATAAACGGTTAATAGAAGTAACATTGACTAAATCTTAGAAGACTTTAGAGAACAACTTAAGGATTTCTGTACATTCTGTGATCTGATGAGAGTCCTATATTCTGTAGTATCAATTTCACCTTGATAGAATCATTTTCCTTCTATTTTGTTAAACTTAGCACATGCTTAATACACACTTCAAGACTCATGTGTATTAAGTTAGTTAACAACACCATATGTGATTTAGAGGTATAGGTTCACACTTCACATACACTTCACCATGCCACACCTACCACCAAAGCACCCATTATCCTACACATTTGTCCTTTGGGCCGCTCCCCACTTTGTCTTCCTCCCCATCCTTCGCCTTTGGCAACCTAAATTCTTTTTTTGAAACATGTATTTATTTATGCATACAAGAGCTGGGGTACAGGCCAGAGGTGTGTGGGGGAGAAGGTGAGAGGATTCACCAGAGACAGAGTGGGGAACAGAACCGGCAGATTGACCTAAGTACACAGCTGAGGAGAGCAGCGGGCTAGTTAAGAGAGGTCTGCTGTACCATGTGGGTTGCTCCCTGGCCAGCCGAGGGGATCGAACCCTGCAGAGGCTGTGGACAGCTTCATAGGTTGTGTCTTAACCCCTTGTGCCACCAGGGAGGCCCTGGCAACCTAAATTCTATAGTCAGATTTTGTTTTTGTTTAGTTTTGACATTCCTTTTTTCAGCTTTTAAAAAAGTTGAAATCTTGCCTTTTGCACTAACAGGGATGGAACTCCAGGGGATTATGTTAATAAGCAAAATGAGTCAAAAGGAGAAATACAAATACTGGATGATTTCAATCATATGGAATATAGAGAATCAAAATGTTCATTTTTCAAGGTCTAACTCAAATGCCAACTTCTCAAAGATATTATCCAACTTTGCATTTGCTTGTACTCCTTTTCTGGAACTATCTTATTTTCTTTTATTATACACATTACATTGTACCTTGTACTGTATACTTGCATATATTAATGTCTGTCCATATCCTTGAAGAAAAAGAACTTTCTTTTGATGTGTTAACAGCAGTACCCAGTGCCTTGTACACAGCTTTTCAGTCAGTATTTGTTGAATACAGGAATACATATATAATAAAAGATATTTGATTAAGATATTTTTATTGCTATTTTTACCCTAACAATTATGGTTGTATACTCCATATATAGCTTTTCTCATTTTCTGTTGTGTTTTTAGGTGTTAGAAATTCTGGCTTGGAATGTAAAATTGACAATACCAGAGAGAGGTAGACTGGAGATAGGGAGCAAAGAGGGGAGGGGACCCAGTGGACTGGTGGAGGATTAAGGGTGCTTTCCTTGGTGGTGAGTGTAGTGTGTTCAACTGCATCTGAAGAGGTGCACACTTATACCTCTAAATCATATACAGTGTTGTAATCCAATATTACCTTGCTTAAAAAATACAATATAAAAAATGAAACTTACATAGATCATGTCAACTAGTATGTCAATGCATTTTTAAAATCTTACAGTATGGTGTTTTAAATGTTTTTTTTTTTTCTATGTATCTCTACCACTACTTTAAAATTATTGTGGGAAAGAAGCCTTTTTTTTTAATTTTCTACATAAATATGATTTTATTCTTCTGCTATCTTCACTAACAAAATTTTATTATTCTTCTGTCTTCTTTTTTTTTAATAATAAATTTTATTTTTATATTCCCCATACAATTGCAACCCCCTTATTTTGACCCCAATCCCTCCCCTCCCGCCCCCTACCCCCATAGAGTGTCTCTGGTTCATAGTTTTTTGTTGATTTTGATTTTCACTTTCTTATAGTTATTCGTTTTCCTGGTCCCTTATTTAAGTTTTCTAGATTCCTGCTATGAGTGAGACCATCCGGTATTTTTCTTTTTCTTTCTGGCTTATTTCGCTGAGCATGATCCCTTCCAGCGCCATCCATGTTGCTGCAAATTGCATGTGTTTATCTTTTTTGAATGCTGAGTAATATTCCATGGTATATATGTACCACATCTTCTTGATCCAGTCATCTATTTTTGGGCATTTGGGCTGTTTCCAAAGCTTAGCTATTGTAAATAGTGCTGCTATAAACATAGGGATACAGGTGTTCTTTGGAATTGATGTTTCTGTGTCCTTTGGGTAAAGACCTAGGAGTGGAATTGCTGGATCATATGGAAGCTCTATGTTTAGTAGGTCCAGAAATCTCCACACAGCTCTCCATAGTGGTTGGACCAGTTTGCACTCCCACCAACAGTGCAAGGGGTTCCTTTTTCTCCACACCCTCGCCAACATTTGTTGTTGCTAGTTTTTTTTAATATGTGCCATTCTCACTGGTGTAAGATGGTATCTCATGGTAGTTTTGATTTGCATTTCCCTGATTACAAGTGATGTTGAACATTTGCATTTCCTCTTTGGAGAAGTTTCTTTTTAGCTCTTCTGCCCATTTTTTCACTGGATTATTTTCTTTGTTGTTGTTGAGTCTCATCAGCTCTTTGCAGATTTTTGTGATCAGTCCTATCATTAGTGTTGTGTGCAAAAATGTTCTCCCAGTTGGTGGGGTTTCTCTTTGTTTTTGTTATTGTCTCTTTTGCTGTGCAGAAGCTCTTTAATTTGATGTAGTCCCAGCTGTTTATCTTTGCCTTCACTATCACTGCTTTGGGTGATATGTCTGTAAAGATGTATTTGATGTGAATATCACGTAGAGTTTAGCCTATATTTCCTTCTATGTATTTTATGGTTTCAGGTCTTATGTCTAGTTCTTTAATCCATTTTGAGTTGATTTTTGTGCATGGTGTGAGGTAGTGGTCAAGCTTCCTTCTTTTGCATGTAGCGACCCAGTTTTCCCAGCACCATTTATTGAACAAACTTTCTTTGCTCCAATGCGTAGTCTTCTCAGCTTCATTATTTTTTCCTTGTCCTGCATTCTTGGGAGCTTTACTATTATGTGTCTTGCTCTATTTTTCCTTTCGTCATGGTAGTTTGGTGGTGTTCTTGCTTCTTGTATATCAATTTTCAGCTCCTTCACATTTGGGAAGTTCTCTTCAATTATCTATTTGAATATTTTCTCTGTTCCTACAACTCTCTCCTCTCCTTCTGGGATTCCTACAACTCCTATATTTCCTTTCCTCATGGAGTCAGATAGTTCCCGAAGTCTTTCTTCGGTCTTTTTCCTTCGTACTTCTCTTTCCTTTTCTGTTTTGGTTCTTTTTATTTCTGTGTCTTCAAGAGTACTTATTCGTTCTTCCATTTCATCTATTCTGCTTTCATTGCTTTTCCCAGAGTTCTTTCGTTCCTCCATTAATTCTTTGATATCCTGCGTTTCTTTACTTCCCCCTTTAGGGACTCAATTTCATTTTTCTGATCATTGATTATTTTTCTCATATCATTGTTTTTCTTTTCTGAGTTCTGTCACTTTTTTAATCATGGCAATTTTAAATTCTCTTTCTGGAAGGCTCAGAAGTTCTTCCAAGTTACTGTCGTTGCAATCTGGGGGGTGGTTTTCTTTTTGTGGTGTGCTTTTTTCCTCAGGAGTTGTTAGGTTGCGTGTGTTTCTTCTACTCCCTACTGTCTGTTTTCTAATTTGTCGTATGCATTGGGACACTCTGTTGCGGGACTGGCCAGCATCTTGGGTGAAATTCTCCGCTCCCCTCTGGCTCCTCCGAGAGCCATCTGTCCGTTTCAAGCAGTCTTTACTGAAGAAAGGTCCCTGTTCTAAAATGCCGATGTGGAGACACACTCCCCTGTGTGCCTGGTCTGCCCCGGCAGTGGGTTCCCGCTCCCCCTCTGGGCTTGGACTGCAGGCCAGAAGGGGCCTGGCATGGTTGAACTTCCCCACTCACCTCTGGCTCCTGAGGGAGCTTTCCGCTGGTTTCAGGCAGTATTTACTGAAGAAATGTCCCTGTTCTAAAATGGCGATGTGGGACGCACTCCCTGCACGTCTGATCTCAGGCACACTATTCTGCGCATCTGCTCTGCCCCGGCCGTGGGTGCCTGCTCCCCCTGTGGGCTCAGACTGCTGATTGGAAGGGGCCTGGCATGGGCTAACTTCCCAGCTGGCCACTGGCTCCTCCGCGAGCCTTCTGCCGTTTTCAAGCAGTCTTTTCTGAAGAAAGGTCCCTGTTCTATGGGGTGTTAGTGACTTTTTTCCTGGTCACCAAGTGGCGCAAGAGATCTCTCCTAATGTCCTTGGGGAGCTGTTTTTTTCACCCCGTGGGACAGGGAACAGAGCGGGAATGGTAGGGTAAACCTCAATGGCTTTTGTGTGCTGTGTCTGCCTTGTGCCCCACCGTTGTGGAGAACCCACGCCCCAAATTTCGTGCCCCAGGTCTCAGTTCCAAAGCCCTCAGGTCCAGGATGCAGGCTGTAGCCCAGTTCAATGACCGCAGAAATGGCGCCTTTTGCACCCCGCTCCAGTGCCTGGGCGCCTGGTTCCTGATTACTCAGTGAGGGACTTTCACCTCAGTGAGGGCCCCTGTGTCTCCCTGCAAGCATAGGTCGCAGGCGCGGGAACCTGGGCAGCCGCGATCTGCGTTTGCTTTTCAAGTGTGCTGCTTTTCTGCGCAAGCTTACCGGCCGGCACAGGGCTGTGTGTAGATCTCCGGGGTCTCTCTTGTTCTCTAATGGCGCCTGGAGCCCTTCACTCACCTCCGCGGCGAATCATGCAGGGTTCTCCACAGCTCCAGTTCACAGGGTGTGGTGGCTGAAATAGTTCCTTTCCACTCACAGTCCCGCTCGATATGTAGTTTGTTATTGTTGGTAGTTTTAGTTTGTTTTTTTTCCTCCTTTCTGTTGGTAGGAGAGTGCCGACTTTGTGGGTGGGGGAGGGTAGCAGGGTTCTGCGCTTTCCTCCCTTCTAGTCCTCTTTTATGGCAACTTTCTTCTTCGGGTGGTTTGCTGGAGTCGTCTGTTTATCTTCCGTGTCCCAGTTCTCACTGGGACCTGCTGCTTTTCCTCCCTATTAACTTTTTTTTAATGGGAGCTCTTACTCGCAGCGTCTCCTCGCCACCATGTTGATCCGCCCCTGCCCTAAGAAACCTTTGTTTAATGAATCAGAATATAGTAGTAAATGCTGTCTTAAAGTGCTGAGGGTCAAGGTTCAAATTCTTTAATTCATTTTTTTTCTATACTGTGTTAGTACTGATGTTAATTCTTGTAAAGAATAAGATTAGAATGCCTTGAAATAGCTCTATTTAGTAGACTGTGGTTATGGAATTTATATGTATTATATATATATATATATTTATATGGTTATATAATATATATTTTTAGATTTATATGTGTGAATTTACATATTTATGAATGGTATATAGGCTGAGTATTAAAATGTTACTGTTTAGGATGTCAGTTACAATTTGAAATATTGTACTTTAAAATATGACCATTTGTGTTCATTTGTCATTATTCTCTGTTTCTTTAGCAGACTTTTAAAGCTGCCATAGGGCAAAGGACTGTATGTGTGCAGTGTTTATATCAAGCAGTATTTAGCATAGGGTTAGATACATAGGTGTGAATGAACATTAATTGAGGGTGACAAGTACCTTTATCATACAAATTTTTTTCAAAATTTTTTGTATTTGTTATAAACAGAAGACTTGTGATAGCACATATTAGGATCTAGAGAGTTGTTAAATAATAGTTTGCTGTTATTTATTACCTCACGGTTTTTGTTTTAGCTTATCTATTTTAGGCAAGGACATGAAGCTTATGTGCGGGCTGTGAGGAAATCAAAAATATATAGTGTTAATTTACAAAAACAGCCATGGAACAAAATGGATCTCAGGGTAAGTTTGCCAAATTTATAACCTGTACAATTGAAATAGTTTCAGAATTCAGTTATTTACCTATAAGATTTTCTCACTTTTATACATATTTTACTGTTGATTATATATCTAAGATAAGGTGATGTACCATTGTCTTGTACAGCTGAGTGTTATCGGTTATATTTTATATGTTTACCAGAATTTATATGCCACCTGTTATCTTGATTATTTTACCTAATTTCCTTCAAGCTTTAGATCTTCTAGTGTGTACTATACTATAATTGGAACAAAGCACTAGTTCTCTGGTATGGATATTTTCTCACAGTAGCTTTATACATTCCAGAAGCTCTATAAATTGACTGGGTGTGTGGACTACAAACACTCTCAAGTTATAGCATTTTGGGGATATAATAAATACCATAAATCCCAAGAAGCTCAGAAATGTGTGGTACTTTATTGAATATTTCTTTTGATTTAGTACCAATGTATCTTCATGGTATTATTGATTAAAATACCTATGTATGTTTTTAAAGAATTTTCTGTCTACAAATACATAATCCATTCGTACAGATATAGGGATATATACAACATCATTTCTACTTAGGTTTATATATGTTTTTTGTTCTAATTTTTTTCAACTTGGATAGCATGAGACTGAAAGGAAGTAATTTTATGGTTTTCCAGGTAAATGCAGGGTTATTGTGTGATGATGCTTAGCAGGAAGGTTCCAAGACAGAATGTGTATTTTTACCAAAATTAAGATTTAGACACTTGTAAAAATTTTTTTTAATTTATTTTATTTATACAAGAGCTGGGGTACAGGCCAGAGGTGTGGGAGGGTGAGAGAATTCACCAGAGACAGAGCAGGGAGCAGAACAGGCAGACTGACTGAAGATACTGCTGAGGGGAGCTGTGGGCAAGACAGGAGAGGTCTGACCTGTCATGTGGGTTGCTCCCTGGCCGGCCAGGAATCGAACCCATGCTGCAGAGGCTGTAGGTAGCTTCACAGCACTGCGCTCAACCTGCTGTGCCACCAGGGGAGGCCCAGACACTTGTAAAAAAATTGTATTAAAGTTTTAAGATGCTGGGCGGCCCTGGTGGCGCAAGGGGTTAAGACACAATCTATGAAGCTGTCCGCAGCAACTGCAGCATGAGTTTGATCCCTGGCCAGCCAGGGAGCAACCCATATGGCACAGCAGACCTCTCCTGACTCACTGACTGCTCCCTTCGGCAGTGTACTTAGGTCATTCCGCTGTTCTGTCCCCGTTCTGTCTCTGGTGAATCCTCACCCCCCACACCTCTGGCCTGTACCCCAGATCTTGTATGTATAAATAAATAAATCTTTAGGGCCTCCCTGGTGGCGCAGGCGGTTGAGCACTGCACTGTGATGCTGTCCACAGCCTCTGAGGCACAGGTTCCATCTTGGCCGGCCAGGGAGAAACCCATATGGTGTAGCAGACCTCTCCTGTCTTGCCCACTGCTCCCCTCAGCAGTGTATTTCATCAGTCTGCCTGTTTTGTTCCCCGCTCTGTCTCTGGTGAATCCTCTCATGCTCCTGCATATCTGGCCTGTGCCCCACTTCTTGTATAAATAAATAAATCTTTAAAAAATAATTTTTTTAAAGATTTATTTATTTATACAAGCACTGGGTACAGTCAGAAGCGTGGGAGGGTGAGAGAATTCACCAGAGCCAAGTGGGGAACAGAACAGGCAGACTGACGAAATACACTGCTGAGGGGAGCAGCAGGTGCAGCAAGAGAGGTCTACCATGCCATGTGGGACCCTCGCCGGCGACCAGGAATAGAACCGGCACTGCAGAGGCTGTGGGCAGCTTCACAGCCCAGCGCTCAACCATTGTGCCACCAAGGGAGGCCCCCCAAAAAAATTAAAAAAATAATTCTTTTAAAAAAATAAAGTTTTAAGATGCTAAAATATCTTATCAAGTAAGCTTTTTGTAATCATCTCCTAGAAGATACCATCTATTCTAAATCCGGTGAAAATTGTTCTTTTATTTTAATCAAGGAAATAAAGGCAACTTTTGATTTCTTATTTAAAATTCTAACCCTGTGTGTCTAGGAAATTGTAAGAGGTAGCATATATGTAGCACAAGAACCTGGGCTTTGTAATACACCTGGATTTCAATCCTAGCTCTGCTAGATGCTAGTGTACAACTTTAAGCAAGTCATTGTATCCAGAGACTCAGTTTTGTCATGTTGTGACTAATAATCAGTGTGTATGGATGTTACAAAATAATAATATAAGCTTTCAAAAAGGAAGTCTATGACAAATATACATACATGTTCACTTGCATACTTTTCTGCTAGAGGAACGGTTCTTAACCAGACAGACAGAGCATACTAATCCCCGTTAAGAGTTTTTTCAAAATACTTTTGACTGAACTGTAGCCGAAAATTCTATACAAGTTAGGTTATAGGAACATAAATTTTATTTATTTATGCATACAAGACTGGAGTATAGGCTAGAGGTGCGGGGAGTGAGAGGATTCACCACAGACAGAGTGGGGTGCTAAACAGGCGAATCTCCTGAAATACACTGCTGTGAGGAGCAGTGGGCAAGACAGGAGAAATCTGCTGCTTGATGTGGGTTATCTCCCTGGCCAGGGATTGAACTCATGCAGCAGTGGCTGCTGATGCCTTGATAGCACTGAGGCTTTAACCCCTGTGCCATCAAGGAGGCCCAGAACATAAATTTTAAAAAGATTCCTGAGAGGTTTCTGCTGCTTATCCTTGCTTAAAAGCCCTTCACTTAAACTGTGGTCTACTAAGGATCAAGAACCATGTCTTACTACCTTTGACAATTTGTGATGTGCCTAGTATTTGATGGGTATTCAGATAATTTTTAAACTGTCCAAATAACAATGACATAATATGCAAATATAACACATTCATATTGAAAGTAATAATCTAGTGATTTTCTCTTAAATAGGAACAAGAGTTTGTTAAAATTGTAGGAATCAAATATGAGGTTGGACCTCCTACATTATGCTGCTTGAAGCTTGCATTTCTGGACCCCATTTCAGGCAAAATGACTGGAGAATCTTTTTCCATTAAGTGAGTAACTCTGTGTGTGTTTGTGTGTGTGTGTGTGTGTATTTTAATCCCTGGAGTGTATTGTGCAGAGAGCACAGGGATTGATGGCAGAGAAAATGCTACACACTACAGGCTTTAGAGTTTTAAAAACCAAGGTTTAATTCTTGGTTTGTTTCTCAACTATACACATATATCTTTGAGCAAGTTATTTAACATCACTGAATTTATGCCCTCATCTGGAAAACTGAAATATTAATATCCTCCTCAGGATTGTTGTGAAGAATATGAAAGAACCCTTTTAAGTGCCTAATATGCTTGAAACATGGTAGTGTTTTTTTTTTTTTTCTGTTAATAGCGATAATAGGAATAATAAGTGAATGGCACATTCTTGAAGTTGCGTTTTAAAGACCAATATGAATTGATATTCTTTCATCTCCTTAGATTTCAAAGTTCTTAATATAAAATACCTTACATTAAGCTTTGAGAATGTTCATTGACATCTTTATATTGCAGTTATACAGTAGTAGGTAGATCATAGCAAATGTGGTTTGATTTATGTGAAGGCATTTATAGGGACCTTGAGATGTTTGCAACATTTTGTTTAATGGCTCCGCATTAAACATATATCCATGGGTGTTTGGTAAGAAACATATGCTATTATATGTGTTTATTCATTCATATGTGCTTTATTTTCTATACAGGTATCATGACATGCCAGATGTCATTGACTTCCTTGTGCTACATCAGTTTTATAATGAAGCCAAAGAAAGGAACTGGCAGATTGGTAATTATAGTGTTCTCAGTTGATGACTCTTAAATTTGAGGTAGAGTAAGTAATTTTCAAACTCTAATTTAAACAGAAAGAAATTAGTTTGCCATGTAGCTGGAAAAGCTTTCAGCCAAATTAGAAAAATTTTATTTTCCTTTTGGTGATTTTATTGACATGGTGTGCAGCATGCACCCTCTAAATCTTTTGCAAATACTTCTTCTCTTAGAATCCAAATCTTAAAGAAAATCATCAAATGTCAATTGCCCTGAAATAGAGTATTTTACACTTTGGCTTTTAAACCACATTAGTAATTGTGGTCAGCCTGCCTACTTGGCTCCCTCTCTCCCTTCCCTTTGTTCCATTCTTCATTTTTCTTTCTGTTTCTCTCTCTCTACCCCTCCCCTTTTCTCCTTTTTCCCTCTCTTCCTATCTCTTCTTCCCTTTACCTCCCCCTGCACTGACCGTTTCATCTTAGACAAATTTTAAACGTATGTGCCTCACTTCCATTTAAAATCAGAATCTCATCAGTATACACTTACAAGTTTTATATCAGCAAAAAGTGAGTTAATATATAAAAAGCACTTAAAATAGTAACTGGCACAGAATAAAAACTGTTAATGTCTGCTATTAAATGCAAAGGAAATTTTCAATCAGAATGTTTTGTTTTTGTAATCCTTTGCCATTTAGTAGAGGCAGAAAATTTGTGTGAAGAGACTTTTAAAGGCAAAAATCTGAAAGCAAAAAAGAACTCTAGTAACATGTACAGTATAAGCAGTATGCCTAATGATGATTGCAAGTAATTGATAAAAGTTAAATTATATGTGGTAGCATTTAAGAAGATATGAATATATGTGATTTTTTTTAGAAATATGATTACTAGCACTTGGAAATTGAAACCTCTAGTAAAATCTAGATACAATGCTTCTCTATTCAACAAAAGGTAGAAATTTAGAGTGGGAAAAGAGCTATTATTTTTCTCAAAAACACCCTTTACAGTACTTTAAAAAATGTTACAGGTGATAGATTCCGCAGTATAATAGATGATGCCTGGTGGTTTGGAACTGTGGAGAGTCAGCAGCCTTTTCAACCAGAGTATCCTGATAGTTCTTTTCAGTGTTATAGTGTTCAGTAAGTACAGTTATGGTCTTTTATGCTTGATATAATTCTTCAGTGCTCTATGAACTTCCTATAAACCCTACCGGGGATAATGCTTTTTTATATGACCTATTTAGACTTAGAATATCTATACCTATAAGGAAAGTAATCATAGTACTTGTAAAGAAGGAATTTGGTGATAAATGTTTTGATCCAATATGAATGCTCATGCAAAGCAGGAACTAACGATTGAATTCTACCACCTTTAATGCCTGCATTTTCTCTTGAATATTTCTATTATTATGTTTTTTGGCAAGAGGAAAAAAATGAAAAAGTTGATAATGATGTGTACTTCCTGAATTCATGGGACTCTGATAAAAATTGAGTAGCTGCTAAATATTTCTATTTTAGATAAGATAAGAATTGCAACTTATTCTATGGCTAATACTAAAATTAATTCAGTGTTTGTTACAGCTGGAATATAGCAATGAATATTGTTATCTAGTATTTCATTTAATGTTACCAATTTTAGACAGCAGTAGCTGTATTATGTTTGGATGTACCATTTGTCTGTATCTTCTTTCTTCCTGAAATCTCTGAGTTATAAGATTCCTAATGAATGACACTTTCCTCTCAAGAATAATAGAAGAAATGTTTATTCTGTGAAGGTAACTTTTAGTCTATACATTACAGATCAAATATAATAGAAGAAATATTTATTCTATGAAGATTAATGTCTCTATCTTACAGTGTGTCATACATGTTTTGTAGATAAGCTATCATATGTAAGCTGTTAATATAAAGTAGATTATATCACAGAAAGACATGATCTATTAAATTGACTATTTTAGTTAAAATTTTCCAAAGAGATCTTTTTATTCTGTACCTTGTCTTAATTTTAAATATAAGACTGATTGATGTTTAAAAAATAAGAATTAAAACTAAGTGTAACCTTACTGCTAAGTTTCATAATATTGAATCATGTTTTCTCTATTATAGATTTATTATTTTTATGTAAGTAAAGTTGTGGTTTAAGGGAAAATGTATTAATTACCCTTTCCCAAATTTTACCCCCCAATAACTCATAGAAATTATGGCTAATAAATAAAGTGTCACATGAATTTGATTTGCATCTTTTTTTAATAGCTGGGACAATAATGAGAGAGAAAAGATGAGCCCCTGGGATATGGAGCCAATTCCAGAAGGAAGTAAATATACTTTTAAAAATGAATTATACTTCTTCTAAAAGAATGGCAATAGGATGATATTAAAAACTACTCATTTATGATTTTTCATATTATACATAGCTGCCTTTCCAGATGAAGTTGGTGCTGGTGTTCCTGTATCTCAGGAGGAACTGACTGCTTTATTATACAAACCCCAGGAAGGAGAATGGGGAGCTCATTCCAGAGATGAGGAATGTGAACGGGTTATTCACGGTATCAACCACCTTCTTTCCTTAGGTATGGTGAATGTGAAAGAATGTTAGGAGGGGGGCAGAGAATTAGGAAAACCAGCAGAAATTTAAATTCTACACAAAATAGTACACTTTCTCACTGTACACTTACTTAGTCAGCTTTTAAGTTGAGAGGTACTTAAAAATGTGGTTTTAGTGTTAACATTATTATTTGCTTGGTGAAAGTAATGATTGATAAACTTTCAGTTCTCTAGAGGCTCATAATAATAAAGGCAGGCATTTAGGTGTATTTTTCGTTTTTAAGTCACTTTGACTCTAGCTATTCCTTAAACCTGATTTTGGATGGGTTCCTTGGTAAAAGCAGTGGGTATGTAATATAATTTACTCACATGACTATATTTTCTAAAACATTTATCATTTGAGAAGTTTGGCATTATGCACAAAAATACATACAAAATTTGAAGCTAAGCACAGTTCTTAAATTTTTTTACATTCCACCTGACTTGAACCAATGTATCATGCATGTTTCATAGATATGTTCAAACAATAAAATTATAGCAGTACACAATCTATATTTACTTAAGTGAGTCATCATTGCTTTAAAAGTGTAGCATATTGCCCTTCCTCCTTATTTATGTATGAGTTTTAGTTTGTTAACATAAAATGTTAATGTCCTTTATAACTACCTCTTTTAATTTTGGTAATACTGTAGATTTTGCCAGCCCTTTTGCTGTTCCAGTGGATCTCAGTGCCTATCCCTTGTATTGTACTGTAGTTGCTTATCCAACTGACCTCAACACAATTAGGCGGAGGCTTGAAAATCGCTTTTACAGGTCTGTTTGATTTTATCATTTACTATAAAATATATAACTTTATGTATTTTACTTTCCTTTTCTTACTTAATGATACACTGGGATCTGTTTTTGTAGTGTAAACTAATCATTCAAAAGGCCCACCTCAAAATTTCTTCTAAAAATTTAGAATACTAATTTCCCTAATTCAATAGATTATCAGTCTTGTTAATTAGATTTCATTAACAGCTTGAAGTATGTATAGAAAAATAGTCAAATTATTTTTCCCTTGGTTCCGGTTGGGAGTAGACTTACTGTGGGAAGATTCTAGAGGGCAGTGTTTGGTACCTCTCCATCCCCAGAGTCCACTTTGTTCTAACTTATTCTGTGAACAGGTTATAAATATAACAGGTTATAAACATAACAGGTTATAAATATTGAATGTAATTTAAAATATTACATATGATTTTATTTTGCAATATTTCATATGATTTTATTTTGCAATATTTCATATGATTTTATTTTGCAATATATATAAAAATAACTAGGTAAAAATCAGTTCTTTCCTACAACATGGTTTCTTTTGTTCTTGCTCTTCTCTCTTCCCCTGAAAACTAAACATTCTTTTGATTTTTATCAAAACATTGTATTTTGTCACATCACTGTTTACCCATAATGTACTGGGTCAGTACTATTCTAAATTTTGAAATGTAGTCTAGTGGTTATATATCCTTCCATGTGCCTCAAATAGTGTATACTTATATTAGTACATATTAGTCACACACACATATTGAGTCACAGACAGATATTGGAACACCTTTGATATATGGTTGTCTTGTTCTGTGATATACATTCCTAGAGTAGACTTTAAATGTATTAAGACTAACCAAGTTTATTTTTTCTTTCATAGGAGAATATCGGCACTAATGTGGGAGGTACGTTACATTGAGCATAATGCCAGGACTTTCAATGAGCCAGACAGTCCTATAGTTAAAGCAGCCAAAATTGTAACTGATGTCTTACTTCGATTTATTGGGTAAGAAGTAATTTTATCTTCCATGTGGGCCAACTTCTGATTTTTTTAAATTATTGAAATATATTTGACTTATTTATCTTGTTTCTTAGGGATCAGAGCTGTACTGATATACTGGATACTTATAATAAAATTAAAGCAGAAGAACTAAATAGTACTGATGCAGAGGAGGTAAGAACACAGCATAATTAATAGGCATGAATTCCTTTTCTGTAATTTAAAGTACATTTAGTATTACATGTAAGTGCTGTAAATGGCTGTGAGCAGTGAAGCTGATTTCTAAAAGTTGGCTCAACACCTGCATCTTTTCATATTAAAAGCTTTAAACTGTATTTAGGTGGCATATACTAAAAGTTTAGTAGTGTGACAGTGTTTTTAGTCAGAGATGTGGTAGTGAGAATCAGGATGAGGCCTGAGGCGAGGGGGTAAAGTAATACACCAGAGGCAGAGTAGAGAACAGAAAAGGCAGATTCATTAAATACACTGCTGAGAGGAATAGTGGGCAGGATAGGAGGGGTTGTGACAGGAGATGTTGTCTGCAACCCCAAGAAGAGCTTGAGGCTCTCTTTTATAACCTGTTATTTGCTGGGATGTCTGGTCTTGGATGTTGACCTTTGACACAGAATGTGTCCTGGCCCACCTCCCTATTCAATGCCTAGGTGCTGAGGTCTTCAGGCCAGGTTCCCACAGCAACCTTATGGATTCGCTTTATTCAAGCCAAACGTGCCTTTTGGGCAAGGAGTGGGGGCTTAGTTTTTAACCTTAGTAATGATACCTGGACAAGAGATAGGTGGCTGGCAGTCATCCTACTTTATCCAGTGGGTTACAGCGATGATAAATCAGTACTTCATTTTCTAATCCTTAAAAATAAGACAAAGAACTAATTAATTTACTTACTTATTTTTAAAAAGTCAAAAAGAAGTTTGCTATACCATCCATATCTCTTGCATAAATGGGAGAGATCCAGCATGACTGAGTAACTTGTCCATGTTGCCTCTGATAAATATCTTAGCAAAGAAAAGAGAGTTTGGAGGTAGGGAATGTCAGCTGGGGAGTTTTCTGGGAAAGACACAAAGATATGCAGACTAAGATCTGTCTACTCCTTTGAAAACAGATTAAAATCTTCCAGGGAACACCCTAATAGGGTGAGCTCCTTTATACTATAAATGTATTTCACCAAAGCTTGACTTCCACTCAGCCTCTCCCGTGAAATACACCTTTTTCAGAAAGTCTTATTTTGCAGTGGCAGATTTTTGCTCCCCTGTATAGTCCCACTGTTAGCTGGCAAGGTGAGGGACACCCCAGACAGGGTTTCATTCTTTAAATGGTTTCACCATCTACTGCATCAAGACAAAACATACTCTAGTGTGTAAGACCTTTAATAGAAAGGAACTTTAATACAATTAGTTTGTGATAGAGGGACAAGAAAATAGTTTAAAATAATTTCCAATTAAACACCCAAGGTTACCCATTCCCTCGTGAGTAAATGTACAGCCAAATAGGGTTGACCCAAAGCAGGGCCACTGAGGTCCAAAAGCTTGCCACAAGTCTAAGGTACCTTCTGATGGGGACCCATAGGAAAGGGGCAGAATGGACCAGACAAGTCTGGAAGGAAAAGCACAAAATCAAAACCTAAGTGAAGATAAAGGCTGCCATTCTCAGCCTTCCCACAGTTCTGTCACCCATGTTTCTCTCTTTTAAAGTGTCTCCTTCCACAGCCCCCAAGTCCCTAGTACAAATCTGAGGCCATAGAGCAAGTATGGTTTCTTCACATATCTCTCTGCTCCATGCGCCTCCTTGCTCTTCCTCTGCTTCTGTCTGCTTCTTCCCTTCTTCTCTTTCCTTTTCCCAGTCTTTTCTAGCTTCACCTCCCTGTCAAGCTCCACCCTTCTTAGAGTGGTACAGGGAACTTGGAACACCTCCCCTTTCCCTGGGGATTTCATTATTATACCACTTTTAGAACTTCTCAAGAAGTTCCTCAAATCAGAAGTGGTGTTGTTAACATTATTTCGTAGAGCCAGTCTTTCAGTACTGAGAATAGATCAGTCTAATTAAAAGGTTGTCCCCAGTTTCTGGAGGCAGTCCTGTAGGTGAGTCTTAATGTCAAACCTATATTATACAAGCAATATGAGGCATTTCTATGGAAAGAAAGAGAAAAAAAATCACAGATTGAAGTAGAACACAAGTACAGTGTGGAATCCTAAGGGAAGCCAATTGAGATTTCTAGATATCAGGGTTAGAAGTATCTTCCGATAGCATGAGGGAAGACAGTGGTTTTCCCTTTTACAGTTTGATGTTTTCAGACATTTATATAACAGCAACAGTCATATTCAGGTGCTGCAAGCTAGAAATGAAGTTCTTGATATCAACTTCCAAAAACGAAATATTTTAAATGAGTATTTAGTTGATGGACATTTTAGTAGGGATTCATTTTCTATGCAATATATAAAATATTTTAAAATTTCAGGTTTGAAAGTCTTCATTTTTAGTAGTTTCATGGAATTGTTATTTGATTTCTGTGGTGGTTTAATATTGGAGTAAAGCCCAAGAAACTGGGGTGTGTGTGTGTGTGTGTGTGTGTGTGTGTGTAAGAATTCACCAGAGACAGAGTGGAGAACAGAAAAGGCAAAATTTACTGAAGTACCCTGCAAGAGATAGAAGGGAGTGAGAGTGTAAATGTGTGCAGGAAGGATTTGGGCTTCCCTTTTATAAACTGTTTTTATAGGCTTTTCATAACTAGGGGAGTTGGTCTCTGCTAGTTATTATCTGCTGGGACATCAGGAGGTAGCCTGCCTGGTTCTCTTCGACCTGATTCCTGGAAAATTCCTGGAATTCTGCATAACCCCTTATTGGTCATGTGGACCTGTGGCCAGCTTCCCAGGGCAACTCTGTCAGTTTCCCTTATCTGCTTTTGTGACTCCTGGCGTTATTCAGCTGAGCAAAGTGCAGAAACTTAAGTTTTAACTCTATTAAATGATGCCCTAACAATTTCTTTTATGTAAAAGTAGTAACCAGTTTTTTTTAATGCAAAGAAATTAGTACTCCCGGCAGACTCTCACATATATGATTTCTCCACCCATTCATATCCCTAATTTACATAAAGCCTTTTTTGATTGGAGACTATGATATTCAGAAGTAAAAACCAAGGCAATAGACTTAAACAAAATGGAAAGTGTTAATTCAGAAATCTTTAGTGGAAATTTATCCCAGGGAAGAGTGATTCAATATGCTATATTCTATTGTCTGGCTGTTATATAGAGCTACTTGACATGTTTTTATGCACTGTTAATCTCCAAAATTGTAAATCTTCAATCTATTTTTTTACTCTTGCATGAAAGTGTATGTGACTATAAAACATTATATTATTGTAGTTAAATATTATTTTCAAAATTAGGAAAACTTGGATATACCAGTTAGGTATTATCCTCCTGAAATGAATCAAAAAGTTTTCATTGTTACTCATATTTTTTTCTGAACTTTCACATATATACATTTTGATTCTGGATTTGATGTAATCAGAATTTCACTTCACACTAGCAGTACTTAGATTAAAACAGAAAATTAAAGTAAAATATAATTCAACATTTTTCTTTATTTTTTCCTCTATTTTCTTTTTAATTTTTGATGAGAACATTTAAGTTCTACTCTCTTTGCAAATTTCATTTCTACAATACAATATTATCAAATATAGTCACCATGTTTTACTTCAGATTTTTAGATTTCCAGACCTTATTCATCTTGTAGCTGAAAGTTTGTACCCCTTTGCCAATCTCTACCTATTTCCTCCACTAACCAGCCTCTGGCAACCACTTCTCTACTCTGTTTCTATACGTTTGACTTTTGTTTTTCTTTAAAGATTGCACATGTAAGAGATACCACACAGTATTTGTCTTTGTCTGGTTTATTTCATCTAGCATAATGCCTTCAAAATTCATCCTTGTTGTTGCGAATGGCAGGATTATCTTCTTTCTCAAGGCTGAGTAACATTCCATTGTGTGTGTATGTATGTGTGTATATACATACACACACACCTATACCACCACCACAAATCCCTATCAGTTCATTCTTTTGTTAGCAGGTAGAGTGAGTGGTACCTTCACACCTCCAAACTTGCACACTCTAAATAGGTTCTGCCACATAAAGACAAAACATACTCTTAGTGTGTAAGACTGTCAATATGCAATAGAAGAGAAAGAATAGTTTCCCTATGAAATACCCAAAGTTACCCATCTCCTGGTGGGTAAATGGTAAACATAGTTTACCGTTGGTAATGGTAAACATAGTTGACCCAAAAGCAGAGCCACTAGGCCTAAAATCTTGCCATAAGTCTAAGGTACCTTTTGGCAGGGAACCATAGGAAAGGGAAAGAAGGGGTGAAGGAAGTGTGAAAGGAAAGGGGCAAAATCAAAGTGAAAGTCAAGATAAAAGCTGCAATTGTCAGTCTCTTCATATGTTTCTCACCCATGTCTCTGCCTCAGGTGTTTCCTTCCACATTCCCAAGTCCCTGGTGCAAGTCCAAGCCTGAGAAGCAAGCATGGCTTCTTCTCCAAATGTGCCTCTGCTCCAAGTGACTCCTCCAAGTTTTCTCCCAAGTCCTCTCTCTCAAGTCCTTCTTAGCTTCCCCTCATGGCTCAGCTCTACCCTTCATTAGGTGGGGCAGGGACATGGAACTTCCCCTTTCCATGGAGATTACACAGTTGTACTTTCACTAAAACTTAGATTGTTTTCCTGTCTTGGATATTTTATTTTTATTTTTTTTAGATTTATTTATTTATGTATAAAAGAACAGGGGTACAGGCCAGAGGTGCTGAGAGGATTCACCAGACACAGAGTAGCAACAGAACAGGCAGACTGAAATACACTGCTGAGGGGAGCAGCGAGCTGGACAGGAGAGGTCCACTGCGCCATGTGGGTAGCTCCCTGGCTGGCAGGGGATCGAACTCCGGCTGCAGAGGCTGCAGATAGCTTCATAGTGCTGTGCTTAACCCCTTGCGCCATCAGGGAGGCCCTGTCTTGGATATTTTAAATGATGCAACAGTGAACACGGTAATGCAACTTTATCTCCTTGATATCTTGTTTTCATGTCCTTCGGATATTATGCCCAGAATTGCAAAAATGCATCATGACTTTTCCAACAACCCAATACAATGTAATTCAACAATTTTGTTTTATTAGAAAGGGGTACCAATAACTCATGAGCTACTAGACATTACCTAGTTGTTTCACTAGCACTAGGTGACTAGTGTTACCTGATCCTTGCCTCTTGTATTAAATATTTATCCCTTAGATGGATATTTAACTGAATCTTAGATTTTAATGCACAGTATTTTCCCTATAGAAAAGAGATGTATTTCATGAACTAGCAAAAGGTTAATCATGAATAACTCATAGTATATTAAATATGTATGTCATATAAAATAAGTTTTTGTGAAATGCTGACATTTATGTGTAGCTTTAGATACCATTCACTGTACCTTTTCTGTATTCTTAAATCTTTTCTCTTTTCCTAGTATATTGTCCACCTTGTACACATCGTATAGACAAACTTTGGTGTCAGTCTCCCTCCAGCTTTTGTTCTGCTGTCTACTCCAATGAGGAAGTTAATTGTGATTGTACTTGCCATTACTTTGAAAATGTCTATCTAATTTATAAGCCACTAAATGTAACATTAACATCTCTCATTATCCGCTCTTAATTTTAGGATACAGAAATGGTTGATTTAGATTCAGATGGTCCTGGTACTTCTTCTGGAAGAAGGGTAAGTGAATAAATGATCCCGAAGACCAACTCTACCTGTTTGGAGAACTATTAGAGAGAATCACAGAGCTCATTATATGCAGTTGTTTCAAATTGCTAAAGTCTTATTACTGTGACACAGTAAGGATACACAGCTGGGGGCCTCCCTGATGGTGCAAGGGGTTAACTTGCAGCACTATGAAGCTATGGGCAGCCACTGCAGCATGAGTTCAATTCCCAGCCGGCCAGGGAGCTGACCCACATGGCATGACAGATCTCTCCTGAATCGCCCGCTGCTCCCCTCAGCAGTGTATTTCAGTCATTCCACCTGTTCTGTTCCCCACTCTGTCTCTGGTAAATCCTCTCACCCCCTGCACCTCTGGCCTGTACCCCAGTTCTTGTATGCATAAATAAGTAAATCTTTTTAAAAAGGGGATACACAACTAGATCACAGGGAAAAGGACATAGGCTTTGTCTAGAGGAATCCATGTACAGGCTTCTTAATGCTCTCTCCCTCCTCCAAGGGGCCACACAAAACACACTCTCTTCTCCCAGCAGTGACTATATAGCAACATGTGTGTCTTTGGACACTCAGTCTCCAAGCATTTTATTGGCAGGTGGTTGATTATGCAGGGATCATCTCACTAGACATGCCAAGATTCCATACCTCCAGAAAGCTGGAAAGCATAGGAAAACAGGTGTTCAGCACAAATCCTATTTTTTGCAGTAAACAGTTCAAATGCCAAGTTCCCAAACACCTTCAAGTGTCAAACTTACAAGTAAGCCCTGATAAAAATAACCTTCTATTCCTTTAATTCTGTTCTGTATAGTTCCCTATTATTGATGATAATTGGATATGTTTATTCTGTCATCAATGTGTTATAGGAAAACGTTCCTTTGAAATACTGAAAGGCATCAAATTGTGAAGGCCAGAATCTATCATGACCCCAAAGGTTTTACTCACAGAGAGGTATCATTTAAGTTTTATTTTGAGGAAATTATAGTGCTAATACAGTAGATATTAATGCATTATAATTATTATCTTGTAGAGAGAAAAGCCATTAATTCCTCTTTTATTTGAGCTTCAGACTTTCTTAAAATGGAAAGTCATAATACTCAAATTCATGCCATTTCCATGAATATAATATTTGGCTTTCATTTTTACCAGGGAGGATGATGTCTAATTTAAAATAAAAAACTTTTTTTCACATTTCAGATAAAATTTTATTTTTAGTTAAGTAGGAGAAGGTACATAGCAATCTCATGAATTTTTTTTTATTATTTAAAATTTTCTTTAATTTTTATTGTTATTTAAGTACCATTATTCTTGCTAGTATTTTGACAGTGTAAGATTTCCTTACCCCAGGTGTAGTCACTGTAGCCCTCCCTCCACCAAAGCACCCATGGACCCCACCACACTATATTGTATTATTCCCCATCCCCTTGTTTTCACTCCTTTCCTCCCCCCCTTACCCTGCCAGAAGCCTAAGATCAATGGTTAGTTTTCAAGGGTTAGTTTTAAGTTTCTCTTTGTCTGATCCTTTGTTTTTTCCTATATTCCACATGTAAGTGATGCTATCCAGTATTTATCTTTCTCCTTCTTGCTTATTTCACTTAGTATAATACCTTCTGAGTCTGTCCATGTTGCGGCCATTAGCATGAGTTTATCCTTTTTGATTGCTGAGTAGTATCTGTGTGTGTGTGTGTGTGTGTGTTGTGTGTGTGTGTGGTACCATGTCTTCTTGATCCTCTCATTTGTTTTGGGGCATTTAGGTTGTTTCCATGTCTTGGCTATTATAAAGAGTGCTGCTA